AGTGATTGTGTTTTTCAGCAATAGTGTGCACCCTTCGTTTACAGAGAAAAGAAGGTCAGGGAAAAATCTGTAGATGGAAAAATCTCCATACAAGTTCTTTGTGCATTTTTCTTTTTTTCTACTTTACACTTTTTGTTTAGTGTTTTTTTGTGTTTATTTACTATTTATTCAGGTTTTTTAAGGCATCTAATATTTTGATATTTATTTCCATGATCTAAATATTCTTAAAAATTAAAAAGTTTGTTGTCATTTGGAAGTGTGTAGGCCTTCTTGCATTATTATGCCGTTACATTATGATTATATATTCAGTGGCATAAAATGGTCTTTAAAATGATAATAATATCGCTTATCGCAATTATTTCTGGGGCAATATATTGCACAACAAAAAGTTGTTATCGTGACAGACCTAAGTACATTCTCAGCAAATGTTCATTTTTGGGTGAACTAGGCTATTCCTTTCTAGTCAATAGCTATCAGTCGAAAAACAATTCCACTTCTATTTTATTACTATATCCAAAATTTTGTTTAAAGCTGTAAACTGACACGAACACAGCAGCTCTGTGTTTTATCAGCATCACTCCCATCACAGACAGACAGACAGTTTTAGCACGTTTACACACGGCTGTCAGAGGAATAGATTATGTACTGAGGTTATCAGTCTCTTAAGACGTGTTATTTAGGGTGACCATACGTGCCATTTTCTGGCCGCGTCCTGGCCAGGATTTCTATATTGCCTAAAATATCTAGGGTTTGGCTTTGTTTGCGTGTGCAGACCGATCGGTGTATGACATCGGTTCCTTGTGTTTTCGAAACGCTGTCGAGGTACTTTGAATCAAAGCAATATAGAAATCCTGGCCAGGACGCGTCCGGGGAAAATGGCACGTATGGTCACCCTATGTTATTATACATCAGCTTGGCATATCTAACCTATATACACCGCACAATTTCCACTTGTGTATTGCAACATAACTAAAAGATGAAGAGGCGTTCAACCGCTGAATGACTGTTTACATTTGTGCACTGATCTGTATCTGTGATTCAGAAAGGGACAGGAAGCACAAAATGTAAGTGACCCAAATAAAGATCAATACAGTCACAAATGTCTCAAAACATATGCATTTCCTCACTAGTACAATAAAGCAATAAAAGGTGAATAGTTTATAAATAAGGTTCATTAATAAACCAGTGAACAGCATCATAAAGCATAGAAAAGCAATACTTAGTGCATTTAATACGAACATATAACATTCAACCAAAGTTTCATTTCTAATTATTTGCATCTACATTTTCTAATGATCTGTTAAACATCTTATAATGTTTGATAAAGTTCTTTTTAGTTGATTGGAGCTAAAAAATAGGTTGTTTAAATTATGTGGGGAAGGAAATTATTCTCATGTAAACATCCTAAATCAGTCAACAGGTTACTATATACATTTAATTAAATGAACATTAGTATATTTCCTATAATTAATATACATTTGTCTAAAGTTACTGTTCATATTTACAGTTCGTGTATGTCACCAAAAATACCAGAGTCTATAACTTTGAATCAATGCATATCAATTAAACTGCTATCAGGTTGTTGAAATTATGAAATCATCTTAAGTCAGGCTAAAATGTAACTATTTTATTAAAGTTTTATATTAAATCTGAAAGTTTTGGCCGCAACTTTGACGACACATTAGTCATAAAAGACAACACATGTACAACTAAGGCAAACCAAATGTATTATTAAAATGGTAAAACGTCTGTAGCTCAATTATTCTTAAAGTTTCAACTTTCAGCAGACCGTCAGCCGTTAGCATGTAACGTTAGCGGTTACAGAAACACACAAAAACTTTTTAAAACTCTTGAATTAACAAAAAACTTCACTGACAGCGTCATGTACACTAATCCCAACTAAAATGGACTAGAATTCAAAACCGAAAGTGAATAAAAATCGATATCAAGCTATGAAGCTAACGCTAAGCTAACTTGTTGCTTTAGCCGCATTCGCACCCATTAGCACAACACAAACTTTACAAACACACTCAGCAAGACTGACATTCCCGAACATATAAAACACCACATAACACATAAGTGTATAAACTCACTGAGCTCGTGTGAGTGATGTTCAAGTGGTTTTACTTACATGTTTGTTGAGTTGATGTGTGATTTGTGAAGGCCCCGTTGATACTACAGCTGCTACTTTGAGCGCGCGCGTGTTTGTAAGGACGAGCAGGCGGACAGAGAAAAAAACTCAAGCTTAAAGTGACTTTTCATATCGGTATTTGCATAAAATACTAATGAATAAATAAATCAACATATAGATAAAAACTACAATATACTATAATATTGTATACTATAGTGCTACTATTTCTTATATTTATATTACTAGTTTCAACGTCTATAATTTTTAAAAATAATTAATATTAAAATAAATATATGAATACTGTGTATTATATTACTAATATTTTAACTTAAGTTTTGTAATTTAACTGCTTATATTTAAAAATGTGAATTAAAATTAATATAATTATATAAATGTAAAATATTGATTTAATTATAGTTAGTGTTAACTAAGTAACTTCATGCTGAATGTTTCATTATGTAGTCTGTAAATGTGTAAATATAGTGTTAATTATGGTAAATTTTTAATGTTAACTGTAAGTAACTTCATACTGGATGTTTCATTATGTAGTCTGTGTAATGTGTACATATAGAGTTAATTATGGTAAACCTTTTTTCAGTAATGAGAGAGGAACTGAGATTGTGTGTTTGTGTGAACTGCTTTTATATAGCAGAGGGAGTTGAGAAATTATATTATGAAAAAAACCCCCAGAAAAATAGCAGAAAACAGGGACAACATGAGCACCATTTCTCTTTTAAGATTTTATTTTACAGCAGAAATTATATAAAGCATTCAGAAAACATTTCCCATATTTTAAGGGCAATTCAAAATGTTTTGCATGGCTTCAGCAGCTGAATATTTATTTATCTATTTTTTTTTTAAACATATCCAACAATTCAGTGATGCTCTCACATGCACAGTTACAAAACAAAAAATAAAAAATATAAATTAAGTAAATAAATAAAACTCACAAGAAGGACAGAAAGAGGGAGACGGCCGAGAAAACAGCACATGAGGCAAAAATCATCAGAGGAGGAAAAGGAGGAGGATACAAGGAGCACAAAGCAGGTATGAAGGAGAAAGAGAGAGAGAGGTAGAGGGGAAAACAGAGGACTAATACTAGCTTCACATGCAGAGTGTTGAAAGCCCATTGCCCTGTAAGAAATATGGGCTCATATTTTATCTTTTTTTTTCTATTCTTCATTTTAAAATGATGAAAACGTGCATTAGGGCTGGGAAATATGAAATCAATGTCCACAGACCACTGAACACCTCTCTCTGTGTACCTATATTTGCATAAGAGGAAGTGAACTAAGCATGTCCCAATGTTTATTTTTTTTCTTTTCCATTTTTGTTTTTATTATTATCATCATCATTTCTTTTTTTAAATGTTTGACTTATCCATGTTCTTTCAACCTAAAGAGCTTGTCTAAAACAAAGTGTTTATTGCTCTGTACTTGAAAAGCTTATAATCGAGTGGTTTTTCGGTTCTGTTTAAGCCTAACCTGCATTTCCGGAGTTCCAAAGAGAGGATTTAGGACATCGTACAAACTTCCAACTGCACCAGTAGTGTTTTCCCTCGCTCAGCTAAAACCTTCACATGTGCTCATGTGGTCATCCGTGTACATACGTCGAGATAAAAGCACATACAGACGCACTTATAACGTACCAGGGCTCGGAGAGGGAATTCAACTCGGATGGTGAGCTGTACAAAGTGCATATTTATTTTATCTGACACAAAAATACGGAAAGCATGATCCGGATGCACGTATACTGAGCTGTTTCATAAGAGGACGGGATCTCCCACCTTATTCTGAAGGTATTTGGCGCTGAGGTATACTTATGCATTCCCAATCCCATGGGGATATGGCAATACTAAATGAGCGATGATACCTGCACAAACGATGAAACCTTCACATGTGCTCATGTGGTCATCCGTGTTCATACGGCGAGATAAAGCACATACAGACGCACTTATAACGTACCAGGGCTCGGAGAGGGAATTCAACTCGGATGGTGAGCTGTACAAAGTGCATATTTCTTTTATCTGACACAAAAATACGGAAAGCATGATCCGGATGCACGTATACTGAGCTGTTTCATAAGAGGACGGGATCTCCCACCTTATTCTGAAGGTATTTGGCGCTGAGGTATACTTATGCATTCCCAATCCCATGGGGATATGGCAATACTAAATGAGCGATGATACCTGCACAAACGATGATACCTGCTCAGTTTTGGAAAAATGGTCTAAAAACTCTATAAACATACACGGTCTATCCTGTTACCCCAGTGACTGTCTGTCTCTGAAAGCAGTGGTTTGTAACAAAGCGAACGTTGTAATAATGTACACATGGAAGTACATATTCCCAGTGGTTTGTCCTGTTGATTCTGAGCTGAACCTGGAGACTTAACCTAACCTAACCTACAGTAGTCTCCATGCTAAACACCCTCGCCCTGTTTTAGCACCCTGAGTAAAACTACAAAAGGGAGGCAGATTTTTCCCTTCCCTAAGATGAATGACCCAAACTGAGATACATATACCTGGTGATCCATAAACAGCTTTTCCTGGTGAATTCTGAGGACTTTCGCTTATGATTCCTGAAGTTTCAAGTCGGAAGAATATACTATTTGGATGGAAAGGGACATAAAGGCGGCCACCTTCGCTTGGAGTTGTGCTCTGACTTGAATCTAACAACCGGATAAAACTATTATATAATGTGCCAACTTCACCGAGCATGTCCTACTTTCCTGGCCCAGTATAGATCCGACATGGAAAAAGAGAAAGAAAAGCACACAAAACGAACGAAATAATGAAAGCATGCATAGTATGTTATTGGGTCACTCAAAATCTTTGAACAAATCGCTTTTGGGAGACAGAATCGGAATGAACGGGGGGGACGAAAAACCCAAAATGACAGGTGCCTTCACTCTGTGTTCAAGGAGTGAAAAGGGTGTGAGAGGAGGAAACAGACCTGGGCTCCTATTTGGACAGTAAAACCAGCCTTTAGCGTTGCATACCATTGGTTTTCATATCGACTTCTTTAAGAACAACACACTCATTGGTTCAATGTTTTAGGCACTTTCTATAATAATAATACTGATATCGAGTCTCTGAGATCATGAGGAAACATTTCACTTCTAAAACAATGGATCTACATGTGGGGAGTAGGAATAAAACGACATAGGTAATAATTCAGCAGAAAAGCACCACATTCTTTCCTCGCCCTTCCTTTTTAACAGGCAAAATGTGCTGGTGTAAGTTAAAATGATGCCTCTCGTCAGCTGAAATCGCTTTGGAAATTCAGGGGGGTCAGTTAGTCTCAAATTTCTTTCGGAGAAATTTGTGAAAGACGTCGAGCTTGTTTCCATAAGCATAAAAGAGGAACAAACGTACAAAAGAAAGCTATATGATTCAGTGTGACTCAACCATGGGGTTTTGAATGTTGGTAGCAGCCCCCCAAGAAATGAAGAAATAATAAAAAACAAAACTTGGCAGTCGTAGATTTCCGTATGTGTTTTGAGCTACATTCACAATATTTATCCATGACCGTTTTCATGCCCTCTCAGTGTCTGAGTCCAGTTCCGAGTGTGACATTTTTCTAGCACGTAAGCAGCACGTGTATGGGAATCGCCTGCTTGAAATAACCATTCACAACCCTCGCGTCAACATCATTTTTAATTACATGACCTACTTTTAACCTCCTGACTCCATCCAAGACCATTGTTCATGTTGAGTTCAAGACGATAAAATGTGAGAAAACACATTCTAGTCACGTTATACAAGACAAAACTGTGGAGACATTTCATCCTCTGTATGGTAGAAACCTCAGCTGTAACTGTCGGCTGCGTGAGTGAAGTTTGGTCATTCAGTACTAGTTCTTCCAATACTGGGATAATCTACTTCTCAAAGGAATTGCTTATTTTAGTCCTGTAGCATTCACATGACTGGTCACCATGGGTTAAAAAACCCAAAACAAAATACTATTTTATTTCCCGCTAACCCTGAAAGAGAAAGTTCCAGTTGTGTCTGATGGATTCGTTTGGCTCTTCGGCTAAATCGACGGTTTTATCGTGATTCATGTCATGCTTCAGAGAATGTTCCGTGAAAGAACATTTCCAACAAAGTCTTCTAGTGAAATTGTTCAAATCGTATTACAGACCATTGCCACTACATTTTATCTTTACATTATGTTCAATGTCTTAAAGTTTCATGCACATGGCTCCTTCTTCGCAACCAATATTTACAATATTTACAAACAATACAACCGTACATCTTGGGCGTTCAAAGAAAACTATACAATATATTATTTTTTGTTTGTCTCTTAATGTGTTATAATAATCCAATTTATGAATAAAATACTATATATTCTTAAATACAATCCTCTTCGGAAAAAGTTTCTGGCTATCAATGTTCCTTCACCTATCTTCATATGTACAGGGACCACTCAATAGTCAAAAATATGGATTTTTTTGAAGCTTCTGTATAGGGACCCTTCAAAAAGTCAAGAAGTCAAGGCAATGTTCAGTGAAACTCCACGGGAAAGCTTGTGGCGGCTTTCTGGAGCTCTTCGAAATTAACCAACAGTAACAATGAAGAAACGTATCACAACACACACACACACACACACACACACACACACACTCACACAAAAATGGAAGATAACCTTTGCAAATATACGTTTGGCGCTGTGGCACAATTGATAGTGCAGTTCACATTTAAAAAAAAGGTCAGTTTTTAAAACAAGGAGATTATTTAAAACCTTCACACAATTAAAAAAAATGCAATAATGCTAAAGGCAAAAAAAAAATAAAAATTTCAATAAAGCTAATAAATAACTGAACTATATAAAAATAATGGCCTTTATAACAGTATACTCAGAAACAAACAGGCTTATACGGTCCAGTTTCATGGTGCCACAATATCACCAATATGAATGAATGAAAATAAAACACAAAACATTTACATAGCATGCAGGAGCGTTTTGCTCAAACACATGCACTGTATTCAGATTCAATTCAACAAACACGGGACACACAAAGTCAGGCCAGCAAAATGACATTAAGAAAAGGACCCATAAGAAAGTCGAAAACAGTGCACAC